GTCAATTAAAACTCTTCCCAGGTGAGGCGGCAGCGACTGCACCGAATTCCCGCGTGGAACTAGACAGAGCACTGCCCTGAACACAGGAATTCCCAGCAAGTCCCCTCCGAGGCAGATATTCCCGGTGAGAACTGCGGAGCCCCAGCGCTGTCCCACTGGAGGGAGGGTTTTTCCATGGCACTGACTCATCAGCAGCAAACCCTGGAAATAAACACTCAGGAAAAACGAAGGGTCCCTCCGGGAAAAAACAGGGTGTAGAAAAACAACCTGTTTGTCCTACCTGCTGTTGTGGCTGGGGTGGCGGGGGCGCCGGGGTTTTTGAGGCAGCGCCGGCAGAGCCAGTGCTGCAGCGCAGGCACAGCAGCACAGGGAAGCTGTCACAGGGGGAGAGCACAGGGGAAAGCGCTGACTGTGGGAGCATTTAGCACTGAACAATGTCCCTGTACATGCGCTTGTGTCCTGGGGGCCTCCCAGCCTGTGCCTGGGATGAAGCGTTCCTCTGCTGTCCCAGGCACGTTATGGGGCCACAGGGGGAGAGGGAAGGTGCTGCCTTCCCAGTCTGCCCATAGCCCCTGGGGGGATTCTGTCCCTGCAGTGGGTCTGTCCCGGGGGGTTTGGTTTCCTTTGACTGAGCTGGTGAAGAGGCTCTCACCAGGGCCCCTCTCAGGATCTGAGTTCTCCTTGGTCCTGTGGGGTTGCCATAGGCAGCCCCCAGCGGCACCTCCCCAGTGTGTTCTGAGGCAGGAAGGTGATGATGGGTCCACGAGATGCCAGCTGCCAACACTACACAAGGTTCTGAATCGCTTCGTGCTGATTCTGAGTTTTAAAGTTAGCACAATAAGGATTATTTTCTTCCCCGTGGTTTCCAAAGCAATACCTATGCTAGTAAGCTCTGAAACAGCTTTTTTAACCAATAAAGCCTTAGTTAACGCAGTATTTGGGTATTGCCTACATTGTAGCATGGCTTGTGCAGAAGCACGTCCTGCTTTCCAAAGTCTAGCCTAGATTGCTCAGTGGCTGGAGGAGGGCAGAGCTGAGGGAGCTGTGCTGAGGTGGGAGTGCCCAGGGGCTTCCCTTCAGGAGTGAATTCTCCTTCTCTCTGTGTTAAACCCACGTAGAGGTTTGTGCCATGTGGACGGTCACACACATGGGAGCCTGCATTTTTCTGACATTAATGTGCTGTAACTACTGAATCCAAGTGGGAGCATTTCTTTAAAGTATTGAAATGAGACTCTTGTAGTCCTGGAAAACAAACCCAGCCCCTGAGTACTGGCAAAAGATGTGGATTTTCCAGCTGAACTTGAGCGTGTGCAGCTGTTTGAAGCAGCCTTCCTTTGCTGCTCACAGCTGTGCCCAGATGGGGACAGCTTCTTTCCAGCAGCTTCCTGAGCATTCACTCGAGGCTTTTTGTTTTTCCTCTCGTTCCTTTTAGCAGCTTTAGACTCGTGGTGCAGAGGAGGTGGCTGTAGTTTCAGAGCTTTGCATTCCTGGCTGAGCTGTGCCTGTGTTTGCGCGCAGAGCCATCGCCTCCCCTCCAACTATTTTAGTCATTTCAGAAAGGGTGGGTCAGAGGCATTTGGCAACGGGTCCTTTGCTGAGGTGGAGTCAGCCAATGACCTGCAAGGCTGGAAACTTCAGCAGGGCAGTTTGGCTGGAGGGCTCTGTGGGGCTGTGCCATTTGCAGTGCAGCACAGACATCCCCACGCTGCGTCCCCGTTCCTGGCGCGGCTCCCAGCGCAGGCTTTAGCTGAGGCTCGGGTTTAGCCTTCCCTCCTCTCTGTCCCCGCAGTGAGAGCTTCCCGGGCTCTGCTCGCCAGCGTTCCCGAGCCATCATGGAGGAGACTACCCTGCAAATCATCGAACCACCAACTGTTTCCGAGGCCTCGGAGGAGCCGGTGCCCGAAGAACCCATCAAACCAGACCAGATCAACGGCGTGATGGTGCTGACCCTTCTGGACAAGATCATCGGAGCGGTGGATCAGATCCAGCTGACCCAAACGCAGCTGGAGGAGAGGCAGCAAGACATGGATAGCGCCGTGACCAGCATCCAGGGAGAGCTAACCAAGCTGGCAAAGGCTCACACCACCACCAGCAACACCGTGAACAAGATGCTGGAAAAGGTGCGCAAGGTGAGCGTGAACGTGAAGACGGTTCGGCAGAACCTGGAGAAACAAGCGGGGCAGATAAAGAAGCTGGAGGCCAACGAAGCAGAGCTCCTGAAACGCAGGAACTTCAAAGTCATGATCTACCAGGTAAGGAGCTGTTTCACACGTGCTTTGCGCCCTGCTGGTGGGTGTTCTCTTTGCAGAGGGGTCTGTCACGCTGCGTGGCCGGTCCATGGCTCTCCCCTCCCTGCCTGGCAGCCCAAAGTGAGCAGCAGCACCCTCTCATTCATGAGTTAACGTTGTCTGGGTGTTGTAAGACAAGGTTTGGTAGAGCTGCTATGTTTAAGAGGAGTTTAAATGAAGACAGTGAGGACAGCCCTAAGCACCCATTGTAACAGAGCAGAAATAGCAAAATCACCTGAGTTTACTGCTTTGCTAAGCCAGAACAAGAATGCCCTGGGTTCAGGAAGGGGGACTTGTAAACCCATCTGCCACTGTCTTCTCTACTGAGAGACAACATGTGTATTGCTGTGTGGGGAGTGATAATATTTCACATTTGGGACATGCCTCTGGTAACGAGCAGACAGTAAGGGCAGCATCGGGGTGACCCGCTCTGCCTAGGACAGGCAGGGACACTGGAGGGAAAGCAGAGCGGCTCCCTGAGCCCCAGTGCTCGGGTCTGCCCTGGTGTTGTACAGATTTCCACATTCTTTTTCCTGCAACCTGGGAGCGTTGAATGTTCGAGTTACCTGGTGTCGAGAGGAGCTTTGGTTTGTTTCTTGTTCCCCCCTGTGCTAAGTGTTGGCTTTTTCCTTTAATATTAAGAAGAAAGGAGAATGTTCCTGTCAGCTCCTGGCTGGAGTTAGTCTTCCTTATCAGAGCAAACTCTTACATTGAGCCGTGGAAGAGAAGTGAGTGAAATAGTTAATGATTCAGTTAGGAGCCTCTGGGTTAATAATAGACAGCACCAGGGACAAAGAAAGAAGCATCAAGTGCTGATCATGGGAAGAGAGAGAAGAAAAAAGGGGGAAAAAAAGGGGGAATGCTTCTTATCACAGGGCTCCAAGAGAGAGCTGAGCATAATAGGCTCAGGAATCTACCAAGCCCAGGGGCCTGGGTAACTCTGATTCAGAGCTTAAGCATTTGTAGTTTTATCATGCCCGAAAGGCTGCAATGCTCCAGCCTGTTCCAACCACGCAGCAACTTAACCAGTAGAGGCAGAGGTTTGTGACAAGTTATTTGTATCAGCCTTTTGTGGAGGCTCATTCTACCCACGGAGAAAGCAAACGGAACTCTAAATGTCCTGCAGAAGCAACAGACAATGCAAAAGGAGAAGAGTGAGGGGAATTGTCTATAAACAGAGCATTCCTTGTGGGTTACGGAAATAGGTAGGGAGTTGGCAAGCTCCTGGAGCCTTTGGGAGCTGCTCCTTTGGCTTTGCTGTTGTTTATGTATATTGAGTAAGATTTCTCTTTGAATATAAAAAAGCAATCCTGCTTCTGAAGGAAATGGGTCCAGAACAGCCTCCGAGTGCCTCAGCTGACAAGGGACTGCAGGGATCCTGTGAACCAGGGAGCTGGTAGGGAGTGAAAAAGAGTGATTTGTAATTCAGAGCAACTTCCCAGCAGGGAATTGAATGTGACAGAGCCCAAGTGAGGAATTCCCCAGGGTTGCTTCATGTGACATGGAGCCTCCTGCTCCCTGTGGCAGGGGGAAGCCGGGGCAGGCCTGGCCACAGAGGGTGAGGATCCTGTCCGGAGGGCCCCAAGCTGCGGCAGCGGCGTGCGTGCCTGTGACGGGCACTGCTCAGGCAAATGAAGGTCTCTCTTGGGGGAGAAACTCTTGGCTTATCTCTTCATGCGGTGCTTAATGTGGGAAACAAGCTCTGGGATGGACTTTTGATGTTCGAACACTGGAAAGAAGTAGACAATAAGAAGCTGAGTGTGCCCGAGTACCAAATGCTGCTCTGGATCGTGGTGCTGCACAGGGACAGAGCTGTACGACAGAACGGGGTGGCCAGGCCTGGGCACAGGCACCCCCCCGAAGGGAGGGGATGGTTTTGCAGTGCACAGCAGTGCTGCTTTTCCCTGCATATGGTGGAAATGTGGGGTTGGTCAACAGAGAAAGTTTCTAAATGATACCAATGCACAGTGTGTCTGAGAGCTACTGTTGTGATTAGTTCTCCTGCAGAACAGGGTTGTTTAATAGTTGCATTACTCTGTAGGTCAATGTCATGAAAACATCATCATGTCATTTTCAGTGTACAGAACCTGGAATTGTGCGGCTTGGTGCAAGGAAAAATATTCTCTCTTTTGTGGAGAGACTTTTCCTTGGTGCAAGGAAAAATAGGCTCTCTTTGTGGAGACCTTTTATTCCAAAGAAGTTAGTAACCATAGAGGGGGATCTCGGAAGTTTTGCTGTTAAACATTTGGGGGGATCTGGGAAGTTCTGTTTTGGCTTTGGGGGGCTTTGTTCTGCTTGGTTGTGTCCTGGGAGGGACGGGGGGTTGGAGTTTGTGTCTCACCGTGGTGCTGGAGCTGTCACTCTGCACAGATCCCTGGCACGGGCGGGCAGTGGGAAGCAGAGAGCGGATGTGCAGAGCAGCAGGTCACAGCTCTGTGTCCTGATGTATTGACCTGAATATTCCAGCACTGTCAGGGATTCAATTCCAGGCACACCAGTCACAAGAGTGGCGCTTCACCTGGGGTTGTGCAAACCAGATAACAACAGAACTCTGCCGAAAGAGGTGCTGGGTTTGTGTGTACATTCGAGAGGCTTATGTTCAGCTGCTTCACCGGTGCTGATCAATGCTGTTTGTTGCTGTTGATTCCCACCTCACTGCCCGTGTCCTTGTGTCCTTCTGTGCTTCAGTGTTAATACTCATGATGTTAAAAAAACTGTGGCAAGAGTCTATAAACCCCAAACTGTGGCAGGCTCCACCCTGGGGGGTTAAATAAGGAAAATTCTCTGTGCTCTGTGTCTATCGTTTAAACCAAATCTCAAATCACACAATAACCCTTTTCTAATTCAGTGTTTCACTTCTCAAGACCCACCTACCAAGGTTTGTGTTGGGGACTTTCCTGTAGTGGAACTCGTTCTGTGGTGGTGAGCAACTTGTTACTACTTTCTAACTGAGAAGAGGCTGCCTTTGGAACACTGTGATTGACTTGCCCCTGCAATTGCACTTCCAGTTGCTATGGCTAAAAATGCAAAGATTTATTGGGCTTTTTGGAGAACAAGAGATCAAATCATCTGAAGAGACATCAAATATTACCTAAACCCAGGAGGGGCTGTTTCCAGGCAAGGCAGCCGAGTCAAAGAGTTGGCTTGCTCTGTGGGGTGCAGTGTCATCGCTCCTGCGCTACGGGGGGAAAAGGGAGGTGGACGTTTGGTTATCGTCTCAGCACTGAGGCAGTTGCAGATGGGCTCTTTCAGGAGCACAAACAAGACGTTCTGGCGCCGTGGGAGCGGAGGGGAGAGCTGTGTTTTGTGCTAGATGAGGAGGAACTGAAATGAGGGTGTGTTTGGGAGCGCTGCGGGCCCGGGACTCTGCTGAGCTGGGGGAAAGTAGGGACTGAAACTGCTGCCACTGGGGCAGCTGAGGAGCAAGCACTAACCCAAGCCCATACCCCCAGCCCTGTGTGTCCCTGGGCTGCTCCCTTG